GAATTGATATTCTTAAAGATTGATAGTTCATCGAGTTGAATTTATTTATGCATGACGGGTAATGAGGAAGGTGATAAAAATGATACCTAGTATTGTTGAGGTAGCCAGCCGACTATAATTGTTTTCTAATGAATTGCAACCGCCTTTCAATGAGTAGTATATTTTGTGCGATAGTATGAGATAGTGGAGAAGAGATTGGGATGCATTTACGCTTGAGTTTGAAGGGATAAAAACGAGATCAGTGTCTATAACAATGGTCGAGGTATACCGGTTGTACTCCATAAAGTTGAGAAAGTCTACGTACCTGAGTTGATTTTTGGTACACTTCTAACATCGTCCAATTATGATGACAGTGAGAGAAAAGTAACCGGTATGTATTCATTCATTCATTCAATATTTTGCTTTTCATCTGTAGTTGTTCTCATCTCCACGGGAACTTGTTCTAAGCTATCAACGCACATTTGTATTGGTCTCTCACGTTCTCAAGGCTTCGGATTCGTTGACTTCCGAATAATACTGCGGTGAAAGAGTGTATTTAACTACCTCTTCCGTAAAGTTGAGGTTGCTTCAAACAATTTTGGAGCTCTCGTCATAGGACTTATCAAATTGATATACGTTTTCGAAGAATCCAGATGTGATTGGTGGTATATTGAATTATTCTTTTTAAAGGTGGTCGTAATGGTTATGGTGCGAAGTTGTGTAACGTATTCAGTAAACGTTTCACTATTGAAACATCCTCAAAAGAATATGGCAAATCATTCAAACAGGTTAACATCTTTCTGTCCGAGTTGTTTCAATTAAGTCGAGATTGTTGAATTATGAATGATGTATTGTTTGCAAATGTGTTCAGTGATGTTATTTGCAGTTGTTTTGTTATTTTGATACTGATATATTAAAGAGAATGAGATGTTTAATAAGGTCAGCTTTATTACCGATAGCATTTTAAATGGTTTGTCAGTAATATTGATCACATTCCAGTCATGGGTGGATAATATGAAAAAGGATGGTGAGGCGGTGATTGGA